GCTCCTCTGCATTTGCCTTTTTTTTTATTTGATGACCTTTTTACTGTGCATTCCCCGTTCCTTCCTTGGGAACAGAGTTGAGGATCTGTGAACAATGAGAGTGTGTGTGTTGAAAGGGGCCGAATGTTTTACTTGGGCTGTAGCTGAAAGCAGATGATATCCTGCCCCGTTCTAATGATGCAGCCCGGATGGAGCTGTGGGAATGCCTTCCATTTGGGAGCCTGTAGTGCTGCCAGATGGATGCAGGAGAGGAGACAAGGTAGGTGAAAGGAGTGGGAGCTGTGTTTGTGCTGTTCCCTCCACAGGCTCCGACCACATCCGGGAGAAGGACGGGCTGTGGGCTGTGCTGGCCTGGCTGTCCATCCTGGCCACCCGCAAGCAGAGTGTGGAGGACATCATGAAGGACCACTGGCAGAAGTACGGCAGGAACTACTTTACCAGGTGGGAAAAGTGCTTCCAACACCTCACACTTCCTTCTGTCCCGTGTCCAACCCTCCAGGTCAGAGCCAAAGCACTGATGGCACTGGTGTGTCACCATGGGGCTGCTCCTGCCCCAGGGCACTTGCTGCTTCTCTCACAGTAATTTAAAACTCCCCGAGCAGTTTGTAACACACCTGGGTTACACGGAATGGGATTCACCAGAACCCTTCACTGTGTCCAGCTTAGGGTTGTTGTTCTAGACATAAATCTGGTATTAAAGTCTGCCCAGGCTGTACATTTTACACATGCAAAGAATCTTTTTTTTTAATGATTTTTTTTCCTTTCAAGTTCAGTTCAGTATGTTGGGCTCTTGAGAGCCCAAATCAGCAGCAAATTTTTGATACCTTCAGTGACAGCAGTATCTTGTGGAATGCCCAGCTCCCAGGCTGTTACTTACCTGGATGAGTTTCTGTCCAGTCCCAAAATACTCCAATTTAAGCTGCAGTACACATGGAATATGGAAAGGGAAGGAGTGAGAACCAGCCTGCACACAAGCAGAGGTGGGAATGTCACCTGGAGTGAAAGCATTAGGCAGAAATCTTTCAGCTTGGAAGACCTACATGAAAATTCCCTCTCAAATTGCCAAATGAAAGATTTTACCTTTTTATTTTTTTCTTCTTCCTTCTTTTTCTCCCCACACCGCAAAGGCAGCAGACACCTGAGGCATGGAGACCTTGGGGGAAATGCCAAAGTCTGGGATAAAAAGGCAGCCTTTTAGCACTCGAGGTGTCTGCAGAGCACACTCAGTGCAGGGGTGGGCGGGTCAGCAGGCAAGTAAAGTGGCACAAATCCCACTGGCACTCGGAATACAGAGTCTAGGATCCCTTCTGTGCTCCAGCCACTCTCTGCTGTCTCTCAAAGCTGGCAGTGGGATGTTGCCCTGGTGTAGTCACAGTTGCAGGGGATGCAGATGAGGGTGTTCAGCTGTGTCTGTGAGGGGCCTGCTGAGATGCTGTCAGCAGAATTACAGCAAATTCCTGGCGGGAGTTGGAGCCTGGCCCTGGATCTGTAACACACCCAATGTGAGACAGCACTTTGTGCTTCCACCTCCTGACACCAGCTGCTGCAGTGTATCCCAGGAGTCTGTGTTGGATGGAGCTGTAGTGCTGCACACAGACCCTCCTCTCTTTTCATAGAATCCCAGACTGGTTTCGGTTGGGAGAGACCATAAAGTTCATCTCATTCCACCCTCTGCCATGGACAGTGACACCTTCCACTATCCCAGGTTGATCCAAGCCCCATCCAACTTGGCCTTGAACACTTCCAGGGATGGGGCAGCCACAGCTTCTCTGGGCAACCTGTTCTGGTGCTTTTTATGTGCCTTTTCTTCCCGTGCTCCCTGCAGTGTGGGAGCAGGGGACATCCTCAGTGCAGAAAGTAGAAGTCAAAAAGGGCATCCCAAACCACCAGTGCCCACTGCACCCTCCCCTCCCTGACCTGTGTTGGTGCCTGGTGCAGGTATGACTATGAGGAGGTGGATGCAGACGCAGCCAACAAAATGATGAAGGATTTGGAGGCGGTGATGTTCGACCGCTCCTTCGTGGGGAAGCAGCTGTCGTGTGGGGACAAGGCCTACACGGTGGAGAAGGCTGATAACTTTGAGTACAATGACCCTGTGGATGGAAGTGTCTCCAAAAACCAGGTGGGCACAGGAGTGTTTTCTTTGTGTCCATTTTTATGGAATAGCAGTGGGTTGGGAATGTTGTGTGTGGCAGCTTTTGTTTCCAGGCATGTGCTGAGGTAGGAATCTCCCAGCAGCAACATGCTTTGTGTTCAGGAGCTCTGGCAAGTTCTCCAGTGTGGGGTAGGAGGGACAGTAATCCTTGTGGGAATAGGGAGAGAGTAACAAAAGAGCCTTCTGTGGCTCCCTGAAGAGGAGGAGCACAGGGATGGTGCAGGCTGGACATAGCCACACTGGCTCTCATGGAAAATACCTTGGATACCCAAGAGCTGAGAGGCTCTTCCCTCTCTCCTCCCTGCCCAGGGCTTGCGGCTCATCTTCTCCGACGGCTCCCGGATCATCTTCCGGCTGAGCGGCACCGGCAGCGCGGGAGCCACCGTGCGGCTCTACATCGACAGCTACGAGAAGGATGCACAGAAGATCCATCAGGATCCACAGGTGGGTGTGGAATCCCAGCTGGATGCAGCTGTACTTAAGGTGGCACTGTTCTGTAGTGAGTTCAATATGTGTTCTTTACAGCTTAAAAACGCTGCTGTGCTCTTGGAGGCACGGGAGAAAAAGAATCCTTCTCTTATATTTAGGTTGAGGATGGATATCAGGAAAAGGTTCTTCCCCCAGAGGGTGGTCGAGCACTGAACAGGCTCCCCAGGGCAGTGGTCACAGCACCAAGGCTGCCAGAGCTCAGGGAGCGTTTGGATGATACTCCCAGGGACAGGGGGGATTGTTGGGGTGTCTATGCAGGGCCAGGAGTTGGACTGATGATCCTGATGGGTCCCTTCCAGCTCAGCCTATTCTGAGATTCTGTATTCACCAGTAAACCCTCTGTGAGCTCTTTCTGCACAACTTGCTGTGCCACTATTGACAAATAGACTAAGAATCCCACATTCTGAGAGGAACAAACTGAACTCAGGATTTCCCTGTCCTCTGCCATCGTGCAACAGAGTTTGGGATATGGCACAGCGAGGGTGGCAGCAGCAACACTGGAGCTGAGCTCGGGATTCCTCTCTGAGCACTGCATCCCTCTCACTGGTCCCACAGCTCATGTGAGCCCAAACTAGTCCTTTGGTCAGCAGAGCTGAGCTTTGGGTGTCCCGGGCTGAGCCCAGGTGCCCACAAGGGAAGGCTGGACATGGCATGTGAGAGCTCCATGTGCTGCAGTAGTTCTGAGCCATCTCTCTCCTCTCTGCAGGTGATGTTGGCCCCTCTCATCTCCATTGCACTGAAGCTCTCCCAGCTCCACGAGCGGACCGGCCGCACCGGGCCCACCGTCATCACATAGAGCGGCACCGCCGCTGGATGCACGCAGGGAAGGAGGTCAGCCCACCTCCCCTTGTCCCACCTGCCACTGAGAGAGGAATGTTCATTTTATCCTTGTAATTAAGAACACTATTTTGCTGCTAAGGATAGACAATAATAAACCCCAGCCCTCAGCACCCCGTGTTGTGTTGCTGTGCTGCTTCTCTGTGTCCCCGTGGGTTGTGTGTGGTGCTCATTAGACAGCCTTTGGGTCAGCACACGGACTCTTGGCTTTTCCTTAAACAAAAGCCACTAGGAATAACAAAAAGTCTACATTTTTCAATATTCAGAGGTTTTTTTCCTGTAGTGGAAACTTTCCTGGAAAAGAAGCACAAATACTTTTTGGTAATACACAGTCTTTTAATCAGCCATGGCTGTGTATTAAAGCTGAGTATTTTTCACTCAGGTGGATTTTCCCTTTTAAACACCAGTTATGAAAACGAATCTCCATTTGCCTTCTGTGCGAGAAACCCCCCAACAAACCCTCCATGCAGAAATGAGCATTGCAGAGCACTAAAGTGATGGGCCACAGTCACTGCTCAGGGCTCTTTTATTTGCCCACATCGTGGCTCCTGAAAAGATGGTTTTGATGAGCTTGTTTGGTTGCATGCGGACAGTAAGAGCCTTGGAATAATCAGATTTGCAGGCATTAATGTGCAATGTCTTATTCAAGGGCACAGAGAGGGTCACTTTGGAGACAGGTGTAGCTGTTTGATGTCAGCTGTGTGAAAACAATGTAAAGCTGCGATTATTAAACACTCAGAGGGACTACAGAATTCAGATTTGCACCAATGAGAGTCTAATTTGATTATAAAGAACAACTGGAATTGCAAATAATGGCATTTGTAAATTGTGTTAGTGCCCTAAAGCTGCTCCATAAAGTGATCTAGATCAGGGTTAGGGGTAAAGAGAAAAGAGGAGGTGTTAATAAAGGCTAAAAGCTGAGGTAGGACCTGCGAAAAACCTGTGCCTGAGGTTGGAAGAGCTGTGTTTTCCATGCCTGCCCAGCACTTCCCTTGGCAGGATGGTGTCCTGGAGGTTTCCCTACAGCCCAATGCAGAGCACTAAAGCAGAAAGCTGGATTAGTGGGGGGGAAACAATTTGGCTGCTCTAATTTGCCTTTTAAGCATTGGGTGAACAAGTGACCCCAGAGTTTATGGTTGGCCTCTTGTTAAAGCAGGTCAGTCCTGGGCTCCTCCTAATGGAACCATGAGCACTGCTCAGTCAAACCGGGCTAAAAGCTGCTCTCTGCCCGTACTGGGGCTAACTGGTGCTAACTGCTCTCTGGTGACACCAGCTCTCCTCTCCTGGGGCTCCTGACTTCTTTCAGCACCTTCAGAACAAGAGGCAGAGCACCAGGGGAGGTTCAGGTTGGGCATCAGGAGGAATGAATTTCTTCACGGAAAGGGTGGTCAGGCACTGGAAGGGGCTGTCCAGGGCAGTGGTGGAGTGCCCATCCCTGGAGGGATTTAAAAGCTGTGTGGATGTGGCACTTGGGGACATGGGTTAGTGGTGGCATTGGCAGTGCAGGGTTAATGGTTAGACCCCATGATCTTAGAGGGCTTTTCTAACCTCGGTGATTCTGTGATTCCATGGCTGCAGGCCAGAGATCTCTCCTGGGGTAGCCTGGGCGGATTTGCCTGTGGGGTCACTGAGCGGGATGTAGCTCTTGGCAGCTGCCCCAGTGCCAGCAGTCCCTGACCAGACAGAAAGGAAGGGACAGTGGCTGGTGGTTCAGGATAAACAGTGCAGCTTTGGGTACAGGACACTTCTGAGCTTCAGTTAGTCCTGATTTTCTCAGGAAACCCACTTTTCCAGCAGATCCCTTCCCAGTCAGTGACTGCAGGAGCGGGAGCACCGTCAGTCCACACAGCACTTAATGGGCCACCTTTGCCAAAGCTGTGGCCACAGAGGGTTTGCACAGACCCCTCTGCAGCTGGAAATTTGCATGAAAAATTACTGCTGCTCTTTCCTTGCTTCTCTCCAGGCCAAAGCACAGGACTCCTGTCCCGGAGGAGCCCAATTAGATCCAGATGTGTGTCCAGCCTATGTTTTAAACTTTACCCCGTGGTTACGTAATGCAGGATCTCATGGCTGCAGTTTCACTACACAGAAAGGAAAAGCCATCACAGGAGCTGTCTGGGAAGATCAGCCACAGCTGAGCCTGGAGCAGAGCTCAGGGGTTCCTTGTCCCATCCAGGGGTTCACACAGAGCTGCCACGGCCAGAAGTGGAGCTGGCAGGAACCAGTGTCCAGAGTGTCCCAGCACATGGGTGATGGTTTTACTGCACACGCACCTTGTGGCCCAGGCAGAAAAGCTCTAAATCTTGGTTGCCTGTAGGATCTTCCATCCTGGAAGAGACTCTCTCTCTCTAGATGGCAGCATTGGTAAAGAGTCTCCAGGCTGTCTCCAACCAAGCCAGGGTCTTGGCACACCTCGCTGCAGTGTGATGTCACCAGTAATCCAGGGATTCAGTCACAATTCCTGCATCTCTGAAGCCCTTGGTGAGTGCACCAGCTGCCCAGCTGGGCCCTAAGTGTGGACTCCACAGCACAAAGCTGAAACCCAGCCTGGTAAACCACAGGTCACTTTGAGACTGGCTAAAACAGTTCAGGGAAATGCTGCACAGTGCTGTTATTGGTGGGGTAATTCCATGTCATAAATCCAAAGTCTAATCCCCAGATCTTCAGCATGCAGAGTTCGGGGCAAAATTTCCAGGTACCACTGAAAAAAATGTGTTATTTGCTATGTTCCCATCACAGCACTGAGAGCTGTGCCCAGGCTCAGGTGGGAACAGTGGCTGCAGGTGAGCTAAACAAATTACCAAATCCAATCAACCAATTCTCATTTGTTCCCTCCATGTTTTCACACACTGACCAGGGACATGGGACCATCAGCACATCCCAGTGTCTCTGCACTTTCTCCACCATCAGAAGAGCTGCTCTCATCCCTTCCCTTAGTGTTCCTCTGCACTCCCCACCTCTGAGGTGAGGCTCTGGAAAAATCCCAGAAATGGTGAAGTGGGACCAGCAAGGAGCAGGATCTGGATAAGGAGCAGGTCAGGGAAGCCTGGCAAGAATGGGATGGGATCAGGAGCTGGTGCTGGGATGGAGGTGGGAGCAGTGAGAGGGATCTGTATGGAGACTGGAAGGGATTAAAGCTCCAAAACAGGGAGGGATTTGGTTTTACTGCCTTTGTTTTCACAGGTTGTGATTCCCAGCCAGAATTAACAGGGATAACAGCTCCATTCCCCAATCTGGGAAATGGCTTTAGAGGTCAGCACGGAACCTGCTGCTCACAGCATCCCACCTGCACTTCAGTTCTGGAAACTCCCACTCTCCTCTGTGGATGAACACTCAGCTACACACACACAGCTTGATTGCAGGGAACAAATTAAGTTTTAATTAGGATGAGGAATCCTAGCAAGGAGCAACAGTCCAGGTCTGAAATTCATCCAGGTGTGTGTGACAGTGTGTGAGAGGAGCCAAGGCTGCAGCTGTTGGGATGGTTCATATGGCATCTGAGTGATGATGTTGAGATGCTCCAAGGGCTGGAGAACCTCTGCTATGAGAGAGCTGGGGGTGTTCAGCCTGGAGAAGAGAAGGCTCTGGGGAGACCTTAGAGCCCCTTCCAGTGCCTAAAAGGGCATTGGGATGAAATGGGATGTTGAAAAGGAATTCTTGGATGTGAGGGTGGTGAGGCCCTGGCACAGGTTGCCCAGAGAAGCTGTGGCTGCCCCACCCCTGGAAGTGTCCAAGGCCAGGTTGGACAGGGCTTGGAGCAACCTGGGCTAGTGGAAGGTGTCCCTGCCCATGGCAGGGGGTGGAACTGGATGGGTCTTAAGGCCCCTTCTACTACAAGGCAGAGGCTGCTGAAAAAATCCTTCCTGTCCCCAGGGTCCCTCCTCCACTTTTTCCAGTCCTGGTGAACCTCCTGCATCCACAGCACAAAAGACAGAAGGTAAGTTGTAGAGGGAATAAAAGGCAAAGAAAGCCCTGTGTCACAGTGAGCAAGTGTGCAGAGCTTTGAATCATTTGACTCCGTGTTTATCCAGCGCTCCTGGGAGATGAGGGGAGCTGGAGGGAAGCGGAGGAGTTTAGGAAGTTCACAAGCAGAGTGCTTGTGTTGTTTCTGGCACAAATTCCCAGTCATGTGTGTCCCTTCACAATGCCATTAACCCCCCATGGTGGGGCTGGGAGATCTTTGGGAATGATCAGCTCTATTACATCCATGAGGGAAGACTTGGACAGTTGCTCCTGGGCTGCCCAGAGGAGCTTTGCCTTCTCCTCTGGGGTCACCTGCCTGCAAAGAGCCTCTCTGGGTAAAAAACTGGAGACAGGGTCCACAAATCTGTCCTGTCCCCAAGCAGCCCCAAGATAAAAGTGTTAAAATGCTCTGTAATTAGTCAGCCTCAAAGAAAAAGCTTTATGAGGGCAGGAATCAGCAGCTCAGCTCTTACAGTCCGTGGCACAACATGAAAGAATGTGATTTTTAAACAATGCTGTGGTTTAATTTGGCTCAGGTGTTTCTTCCTTTGCAAGAAATTCCAACTGTTTGAGAGTTTGGCCACTGGAATGACAGAGAAAGAAATACATATACATATAGTTAAATGATGGTCCTGCCTAGTTCTGGGTACCTACATCACCCAGGGTGAAGCATAACCTTCTCCAAAGCAAAATGAAAGCATCAGTGATATGCTTCAGCTTAGGCTGAAGAAGCTAATTAGTATGTAGGTGTTATTTAAATACCTAAATTGGAGTTTATTGGAATGCTAAAATGAATATAGCCCAGTTAAGTGCCTTTTTCACCTGAGCTCCCACCAGTTCCAAGAGGTCAGAGCACACTCCACACTCACTGGTTTCTAGCTTTGAGTGTCCTCCCGATAAAATTGTTGCTTTAGTGGAAGGTGAATTGTTAGGTTTTATGGAGAGTAGAGAAATTCAATGTAAATTGAAGCCCTTTATTTTTACTTTATTGCAAAGCAGAAATGTGTGCCACGTCCAGGGCTGTTCCTCAGTGTCTCGCTCACAGCAGCAGATGGGACAGTGCAGCTCCTGGCAGCATTTCAGGCAATTACTGCTGATAACATTTATGGCAGTATGAGCAATGCAAGACATTTTATTTTTCTGCTTTCTCAAAATAAAAAGAGATGGAATAGATCAGTTCAAATTAAAGAGCAGCAGCAGTGAAAGTAGACATCAGTGGTTTCAGCTCCCCAGCTGCACTGGTGAGCTCTCTATCAGGGGGAATCAAAGTCAGTTTTTAAGCAGCTCTTGGATGTTCAGCTTTGAACTGGCTCTTGTAGATATCTTATAAAAAGCAGCTGAGCTGCATTTTTCAATTTTAGGTACAGGCCTTGAAAAGTCAGAGTAGCTGAATGTCCCCATGTATGTCTGGGAAACTTACTGTGTGTGGAAGAAGGTACAGCAATAGCTCAGCTCCTGTAGAAATAACATAGTGCTGATTTCTTCTGCCATTACAGCAAATTGCTGCTTGGTGTTTCATAAGGAATGGTTTTGTAGATGCAGGGAAATGCAACAGATTGTTGCAGATGCACAATTGTGCCCAATGGTTTGTAGCTCAGCTTGCACACGGGATCCTTCATCTGAACTTCTGGAGTTTCTTCTCTCCTTTTTCCCTTCTTTGTTTCCAGCTTTTCCTCCTTTTCAGCCTCCTTCACTGTTTCCCAACTTGCCGCCTCCGTACACAATATGTTTCCCCTCTAGACTTCCTTTCTCTTCTGCAGTACTGTGGGAACTCAAGACATCAGGATCAGTATTTAACATCATCTACAAACCCTCTGGTCCTTACTTCCAGCACTGATTAAATTCCCTTTGTGGAGCTCCAGTGTGGATGTCCGAGGAGTTACTGTACAATCAAATGGAAAAGAGACTCCATAAATCCCAATTTTCAGAGCTGGTAAAAGCAACTTATAAATTAATCTGAGAAAAAACCAGATTCAAACAGAGAAAAAAACAGAAGAGGCTCCACTGTGAGCTGGATGGATTAAACCTCACTGGTCCAGTTGTACAGCAGCTCCATGGCCACAACCCTGCACATGCCCCAAAGATCTTCTGAAAAGTTAGTCTCCCTCAAAACAACATTTGAAATGTCCTTCAGAAACAAGTTTTGACACCATTTTTTTCACTTTAATGATGATTACCATTATTTTAAATCTCTGTGGAGAGCCTGTGAGTGACGGCCAAACACAGAAGGTGCTGATGCCAAAACCAGAGAGGATGTATCCGTGGTGGGAGAATACACAGGCAGGAAAATTCCAGGGAATTTTCCTAACAGCAAGAGACTTTGCTAAAAGTTATTTGATGGAATTTTTGCTGGAACACTCTTGAAGACATCTCTAATTTTTATGTATTTAAAGCTCTGTAGATTTTCACTTTAATTCACTCCACAGAAACTGCTATAAATGTAAAGAATGTTTCAGCAACATCTTTTAGCATAAACGATGCACTGGAAACATTACAAAACGTGGAGTATTCAGTTACATCCCGGGGTCCCATGGCTTTTGTTCCACATACAATGAGATGTATGAGGCCTGAGAGGTAAAGGTTAAATTATGGATATGTATTCAGCTTTTCAGAAGGCTGAGAAGCTGTCAGGCCCCGCAGCCCCTCTCACATGAAAGGCTTGTCAGCACGTGTTGCCCAGATCGGTGGGAGATCCACATTGGAGACAAGCAGACATGTCAGGGGCTGAAAGGACAAAGAAGAATAGAACTAGTAGGGTCTATAAACCCAATATAACTTGTGTTTGTTCCCTAACCACTCCAAAACAGAGGCCAACTGTTAACAGAGGCAAAGCCAACTCCATCTTTTGCAGGCTGACAAATGGTCATGTAAGTTACCAAATAACCCAAGACCTCGGGATTAAACTTCTCCAATTGTTTTCACATGATGCAACTTTAAATCTTGCTTTTGAGCAGTATTAAATTTCCTTTCATTCCCATAAACTTCAGAAAAAGTTGACTGCTCTCACATTTCAGACTGTGACCCAGCTAACTTGCACTTTTCCCCTCTGCTAGTCTGGAGAACAGAATAATGAAATTCAGACAACAGTGACCAAATGTTGTTCCGTAGAACTTTCCTTTTACAAAACAGATGAATACTCCTGGGCTCCAAAACACTGCAGGGAACAAAACTTTCAAACCTTATGGAAATAAAATAGTAAGCCTATGCAGTGACTTCATCTCCTTTATCAGATCAGAGGCATTTTCACTGGAATTGAAATGGATTTAAAAAAACCCACCAACTCTAAATAGAGGAAAAGAATTAAAAAATCCCACTGAAGCCATTAGTGAAATACTGCTTTATTTAAAAACCCCACACCCATGTGAGAAAAAGCTAAATTTCACAGAGCTGTAGAGGGAAAAATACATCTCCATCATCCTCCTAGTTGACATAATTCTTTGTTGCAGATAGAAGTGTGCTTTTAGAACACAGGAAAATAAATATTTCAGAATTTGTGATTAAAAAGGTGATAAGCAAATGCACTGTGTGCTGTGATTGGGACAAAAGGCTATAGAAAGGGACCACAGACACTGCGGGGAGGTTGGAAAGGTTGGAATTTCTCCCTGGAGGTGCTGAGCAGTCTCGGATCTCACCAAAACCCCACCAAGTGGGTCCCCTCAGCATCCTCCCAGACTGTATTTATACATCCCTGTATTTACACAACCAGAAATACCCACTGTGCTGCTGGTGTGAGTGGAATTGCATTCATTCAAAGCCCATTGCAAATTTAGCCACCAGAGTCAAAATAAAAGGAGCCAAATATATAAATCCAGCAGACGAGGTTTATGGGGGAACTAACCCAAACATTCAACATCAAGATTTAGTGCAGCCAAATGGTTCTAAGTAAAGGGGGTCCCTTACATCATGTTGGGTCCTGGGGGTATAGTCTCAGTTTTAGTGGCCCCCTAAACTCATGCTGATAGCAGTAAAAGTTTTACATGCAAAATGAGTGGAAAATACGAGATGGGAGATAGTACAATATCAGGCTATAAACCCGATACCCAAACCCCATAACTTCCATGCAAATTCCACCCAGGGATCCCCAGTTCAGTTTGTCTTAACTGAGAGTCTTAAGGGTGAATTGAAAAGTTGTTGGAATAAAAAGCTGTTTAAGACGCCAAATCCTTCACAAAATCCCTGGGTAGACTGGTAAGTAAATACACTGGAAAGGCAGATGCAGAGGCCACCTTGTGAACCTGTCAAAGCACCAATCTTGGATCTGTTGTTCTCCTGCAAAACTTGACGTTCTCCTTCCTCTAACGACTGAAGGATTTTACTGATTCATGTGCCTGGCCACAAAGATGAGAATTTTTAGGAGGGTGGTGAAATCTCCCATGTTCATCCTGACGGTGCCTTAGCCCTTCCCTGCAGGACTATTTACTCCCACTTGGGCCGGGGCTACCTGCAGGTGGTGTGATCATGGATTATTGAGTGGACTATTGTTCAGTTTTCTAAACTATTGCCTTAATGGCCTCCTCCCTGAGTCGGGTTTTTTGAGGGTTGGGTTAGCTGATTCCTTTTGGAAAAAGCAAACAAAGTCTGTGTGAGGAACTTTGAAGTTAAGGAGGAGTTTCACCTGAAATTACCTGAGACGTTCTGCAAAAGGACAACCAACCCGAACTGAGCCGTAAATCCATTGCCTTCTTTCCAAGACTTCCCTCTGGAGCTAATGAGAAAGACAGAGATAAAATAACTGTAACTCTTTCCTCCCAAAGGATGACTACAAAGCTCAGCATGTGAAGTGCAAATACCCACACTGTGTGACTTACACACTTCTCCCTCTGACTGCACCACGTCTGCTCGTTAAATTAAGGCCTTCAAAGTGCACAGTGGAGCTCAAATGTAAGGAAATGCTGGAGTGCCAACACACAGTTCCAAAAATAAAGTAATAACAACAACAAAAATAAGGCATAACAAGCGTGCCAATATTTGCATGTGCTATTAAGTAGTTGCTGGTGTTTGTGTCCCATTCTATCACCCTCATTTTTCCAGAAGGGTGACATTACGTGTTATGAAGGTCTGTAATTTAAGGATGTAAAGAACAGAGTCCTCCCAGTGTATATACATACACACACACACATATATATATATAAATAATTCCAGTGTAATACACATATGAAAGAATTGTGGTCTGTTTCAAGGCTTTTCCTTTTATATTTTCCATACTCTCCTGCCAATTTTCAAAGTACTCCCAGACCACAGACTGAAGTAGATGATCTGAACAAGGCTGACCTGCACCTCCTGGTGCTCCCTGTGTCATTCCTGCCTCCAGCAGGGCTCTCTGCCACATTCCCTAAGGCTCCCTGATCCTTTGCTTTCCTCTTAAGGCAAAGGAAAAATGCAGCCTGAGGAGGAGACAGAGCTGTTGCAAAGACTGGCACAAATGCACTGGTCTAACCTGTTGCCCCTGGAAGGGGATGTGTATCCCACTACCTATGGACATAGCTTGGGCCACTCCACGATGACCTGCCTGATTCCAGCAGGGAAAGCCACGGACCAGCACTGGATCTAACTCAACTAAACCATCCCATCGAGCACCATCCATTATCTCCCTGTCCTTGGTGTCTTTTCTTAGTCCTGCTGCAAACACAAACACTGAAACCAGCCTTAATTGTTAATAGTGCCCTGTCATATCAACCATTTTTCATGGACCTGTGAACAAAAGGAAAATGATCCTTTTTTTGCTACAGAATAGTGTAAAGTAAAATTTTTCACATGCACATTGGCCAATATCTATATTTCTTAAGCTGACTTTTACAGGATGCCTATCACAGAGCACAAGGCATGTCTGTCTTGTATGTGCCTGTTCTCTATGCCGTGGCTAATTTCTTTTAGGGAATTCTGATTTATGCTCATATCTCCTGTTCATTTTAAAGAAACATGTTATTATTTTTATTGCACTCACTCCTGAAATTCCACTAGAAAATGAAAAACACATCAAATGGATAAGTCCTCACCTAAGTTAGAGAGAATCCCTTTTCTAAAGAACTGAGTGTAAGATATGTCTAAATCTTCCATCTTTTAAAAGTAACAGCAATTGTTCTCCATCTTATAATTTAAATATCTACAGTGAAATCAGATTTACACATGGTCTTTTCATGGATGCACAGATTCTAGTAATCCATGGGAAGTTCAAACCTCACTTCAGGTTCCACTCTGGAACCCTGGACAACCTGGTGTAATTCCAGTTGAATTTCAAGTGGGCGAAGGATGACTGATATGGCTTCAAATGCTGGAATCAAGAAATCTGGAATAGATTAATAGGAATATTAGTGAAAGATGGAAAGGAAAACAAGGATTCTTTTATAATGTGACATGATACTTAAGAACACACATTGTCAGTAACTACAAATGTGAAATGTTTCTCTTTTATTTTGCTGTACTTCTGACACGATTCTCTTACAATACTTTGCTTATCATCCTCTTGTGAGGTTTATTGTACTTACAAATCATTCCCAGACAGCTTCTTTGCTATCTTTTCATTAAACAAAAAAAAAAAAGAATAAAAAAGTTTTGTGTGTAATACATTTTCCCTGCGGGAACTAATTCCACAAAGATATTGACTACAGGCCTTTCGTTGTTTTAAAATATGTGGACATGGACCAAATGGTTGATTCTTCTCCCCAGAGTCACCTTCTAGAGCTTTATCTGTGCACTCCATCTCCAAAGCCATGTAGGAGAAACCCTAATTTGTCCTCCCAAGCCAGTGCTTGTCCTTACCTTGGCTACTTTTTGCCATCACTAAGGATTCTCTGTGCTATCCATTTTTTGGTGTTCAGGCTGTGTCCACTCTATTCCTTTGTTCAATATATTTTTAGCCCTTCCACTGTGGGCTGACAGACTGCAGCATGTTAAAGCAGGGAGAATATTTGTATTGATTTCCAAAGGCTGCAGATTGAGAGCAGATGTACCATGCACTCCCCAAACGTATGGTTTAACTTTCATTTCTGTGCTGTGCTGAACAGTCTGAGCCAGGAAGTCATTTAGATTTGCTAATTGCATGGACTTTGGTAGATTTGCAGCTAAAAATAAGTGGTTTGTTTTTTAATTATAAATGATTTATCCTCTCACACTGCACGTAGCTAAATGAAAACTCGGAGAATCTGCTTTTAGTTTCTCCATCTGCCATAGCGTTTTTTGCTATCGTTAGGCCAGGAGTGCCCAACTCAGAGGGATCTGGATCTCATGGACATTTCACTTCATTGCACAACAAACAGAGAGGTGAAGGAAACACTTCTGTGTTGCAGCTGAAGAAGTGTAACAGCAGGTTGCTGCCAAAAGGATAACTGAAGGCCCTGGAGAAGGGTCCCACTTGCCTTTGCTGGCTCCAGCACTCCAGCAGCTGTGGGGAACTGACCCAGCTGGCTCATCTGGAGGAACATCGCTCCTATTTTCTCTCATCACAGGTTTAGTTGAACGGCCTTGCCTGGGTGAACATACAGGAAACAAAAGAGATTTTTCCTTGCTGTTAGATCAGTCAGAAGTAACGTGAAATGTCACTTCAGAGGGTCAGGGCAGGCAAGCCCGGGCTGGTGCTGCAGCAATCCAACCCCAGCTGCATGGCCTGACCTTCCCACTGGCACCAGCTCAGGTATTCCCTGTCTACATGATAAGTGTCAGGACCCTGAGGGCTCTCATTGCTCTTAATGACTGACCACCCTCAGCTGGGGCCTCCAACCCCACCCTTGCCCAGAGGCTCTCTTTAAGCTCAGCTCTGACCCCCCTCAGCTCCTGCCTAGGAGGGGAAGTCTGTCACTCCCTCATCCCTGTGCCTGGCTATGGACCCTACTTGGCTGGACAATGAGGTGTGAATGGACTTCCCTGCTTGACCTCAGACCTGTCTTATCCCTGCAGACCTGCTGGAATGGTTTGTGAGGAGTGGGCCCTGACCTGTAGCTGACTTCTCAGCGTGATGTCAGACGTTGCCTGATGATCCAGACTCTTGGCTGGACCCAGGCATGCCTTGTTCACTTCAATGGGGAGTAGTGGTTTAAGGACCTAAATTGGCAGAAACACCAGCACCAGCAGCTGATAGTCCCTTCCATGTGTCACATCAGATCCTAGAACAGTATCCAGTTTGGCTTACCTCTTCCATTTAATTTATGTCTGTATATTGGTGAGCTTTCACGAGGAAGTAGATAATCTCTTGTCCTTGTCCTCCCTGGTGTGAGGAGGAATATGTGTATGTGTGAGGAGAAGGTAGTTCCAGACCTCAATCTCCTTCCCCAACATGCAGCCAGATGCTTATCTGGGTTTCTTCCTCCTCTTGAAACTCTATTAGTGTCTGACAAGAAATACAAGATTCATATGGCACAAGGCAAGCCTAAGGGATCTGATCTAGCAGGAACGGAGAAGAAAATTCCTTTAATCTTGTCCTTGTTTCCACTCTGCTTATGAGCTTTTTATTAAACAGTTGCTGACTTTTGAAATCTTAAACCTAATCTAAGCATCCCAGGAATGTGATCATTCTCCTGAATGGAAAGTAGTTATCACTCCTGGAGCTTCAATGAGCTTTGGCAGTGTCCTGTCTCTTTTTCAGGAAGGGTTAGGAGAAATCAGTCTATTCAATGTTGATTTCACTTAGGCGAAATTCCACCTCTGCTCTGGAGCCAGGCTGGGAGAGCTGAGAGTGTTCACCTGGAGAAGAGAAGGCTCCAGGGAGACCTTGGAGCCCCTTCCAGTGCCTAAAGGGGCTCCAAGAGAGCTGGAGAGGGACTTTGGACAAGGGCCTGCAGGGACAGGACAAGGGGGAATGGCTTCCCACTGCCAGAGGGCAGGGTTAGATGGGATACTGGCTGTGAGGGTGGTGACGCTGTGGCACAGGTTACCCAGAGAAGCTGTGGCTGCCTCATCCCTGGAAGTGTCCAAGGCCAGGTTGGGCAGGGCTTGGAGCAACCTGGCATAGTGGAAGGTGTCCCTAGACTTATGAGTTCCTGACTGACTGTAAAAATAGGAGATACCCGGTAAATCTGAAATGGTGTGAGGGGAAAATTAGAAGCTTTTAACTATCAACTCATGTATGAAGAACAGTGGAGAAATAATTTTTCTGCACTGCTGGCTCTCAGGTTCTTTGCCTGTTTCAATGGGAAGACTCTAAAAAGTAGAACATGTCCAGGGATCTCAGTGGGATAAACTTAAATCATGTAAGACTGATCATCTGCCCTCCCCATAGCCATGGCTGTATCTGGGCAGTGAGTGATGCCCCTTCCAGGACTGAACAAAACTGGATGGACTCTGCCTGGAAAAGTTTAGATTTGTCGGACACCAGGAGAATTTCTTCATGGAAAGGGTCGTTAAGTATCTCTGGGGCTGCCCAGGGAGGGGGTGGAGTCCCCATCCCTGGAGGTGTCCAAGGAACGACTGGACGTGGCACTCAGTGCTCTGGGCTGGGCGACACGGTGGGGATCGGGCACAGGCTGGACTCGATCCTGGAGGGCTTTTCCAGCCTCAGTGATTCCGTGATTCTGTGAAAAGCGTTTTCCCCGCAAGTGCAACAATCCCACGGACTGCAATTACTATCTGAGGAGCAGCCCCTCGGGAAGGGATGATATCCCCAAGTGCCGCCTTCCAAGCTCGGCTCCGAGGACGTGCGGCCCCTGCATGGCGCCCCTGCCCCGCCGCTCTCAGGGGGGACAAAATGGCGGCGGCGGCCGAGCGGCGCGGGACAGGAGGGGGCGCTGCGGGCCCGGGCAGCGTGGGGCGGGCGGGCGGTGACAGCGGGAAGGGGCTGAGGGAGGCGGAGGTGGCGGCTCCGCGCTGCCTTCCCCGCCCGCGCTCCCTTCCCCGCCCGCCGGCACAGCGCGGGACGGAGGAGCGGCGGCCCCGCGGTGGATGCGGGAGCAGCGCCGGCTCAGGAATGCAGCAGCCGGGCGGCGCGGACCGGAGCCTCCCGCTGCTGCTCCCGCTGCTCCTGCTGCTGCGCGCGGGCAGCCGCGCCGAGCCCGGGGACGCCACGCCAGGTAAGGGGGCACGGCGGGGATCCCGGGGCGGGATGTGCCGAGCGGCGCCGAGCCCGCGGTGCTGAGGGGCGAGGGCAGCGCAGCCCGGCGGCCCCGCCACCTCCCGTTAACGAACTCGGGGGCTTATACTCGGTCTGGATTTAATTGCTTCGTAAAAAAGCTCTTTCCGAGTGTTCGGGCCGGTAACTGTTCCCGGCGTAACTATTCCCAGGCGGTCCCGCTTTGCGGTCCGTGGTTGATGGTGCCCGAGGTGCGTTATCACACTTGTGACTTGTGCTTTAGATCCAGCTCGGGGGGGGATGTTTTGCCATCTCGCTCCCCTTGTATCCCTCCAAAATGTATATCTGTTTATTTATCTTTTTATATTTATTTATTTTACCAACAGCCTCTTCGGTTTGATTTTAACAACTGATACTTATCCCGCGATCCCTCTGTTTTATCGGGGTTCTGGTTTCAGCCTTTTTTTGCCAGTGATTTACGTGAAAAGGGTAGCGTAGCACATGCATAAAGGGACTTCGGGGTTGGGATAGCTGGAATTGGGCAAGGACTGAGTCCTCGGGGCCAAGTCAGTAAAAAGTGAGCAGTGTTTTTGGACGCCTGCATGAGAATTTCAGTAAGAGTTGGATGTTCGTGAGCTCCAGCTCCTTAAAAGTGTTTTATGGTGGGCACTTAAATCACGAGCCACTTCTGAGAAGTCCTGGTTGATAATATGGTTGTACTTAGTATTTCAGAAGGTGAAAAAGTGAATGCTAAAGAGATAAAGGTGATTGAGTTTCAGTTCAGAACTGAAAAAAGCCAAAATTTAAGCCAAGGGATATTGCAGATATAGTGGGATAACTGCCTTTAAAAGTTGATCATAGCTAACGGATACAACCCTTGTCGTATCCCTGTGCCTGAATTTCGGTGTTTCAGGGTGTCCCTAATGATGCCATTACCTGGGACTGTGTGTTAGGAGTGGATGTTTGAAGGACTTCCCGATGTCCCAGTCTCCTGCTGCAGATTCAATGGCTGGATGAGTTCTGGCTTAGCGTAGGAGTTCTTCATGGCATCTCAATGGGAAAGTTTTCAAAAGTTGTTTTCTAGTATCCCCAGGGAATGCTATGTGTGCTTAACAAATAGCTATATTTTTTAAAGGGAAAAAAAAGTCCTTCCCCCCCCCCCATTTTTCAGATAATTTCAAAACCTTAGGGTCATAATATGAATTTTTGTGGGTTTCTAAGAGTCTGAAAGAGAAAAAAACCCCATGAACATAAAGCAGCTGATCTCATTGGGTCCAAAACTGGCCATTTCTTATTTACTGGGAATTCTGCTGGGAAACATCTTTCATTGTATGAATTCATCTTTATGTGTGACTTAATATAGTCATTATAGTACAAGTTGCACCAAGAGGGGTTTCAGCTCAACATATGAAAGATTTCCAAGATGAGACTGGATAATCTCAGCTGGGCTCCCTTTCCCACATGAGGTTGGACAAGGTGATCTTTCCAGTTCCCTTCCAACCTGGACTGTGATCTGTGATTATGTACAGTTACTTTCCACACTGAAGTATTTCCTGTATTTTAAGTAATATCTCTGGCAAATGCTTACAGTGTTGATTCACGGGCAGATCAAGTGATTTATTTATTTTTTTTATAGATAGACATCTATCACGTTACAACCACACACTGTGTTTTTCCCCAAACTTGTTAAAGATCTGCGTTTTTGGAAGAATAAGGGAAGCTGAACATCTAACACTAATTAAAAAAAACAAAGAAAGAGAAAGCTATCATAAAACTTCTTACAAATTTCTTTAAGGTAACTAGAATGGTTGGGTAAACAGATTCTGCACCAGACATACAGAACCCTTCAGTCCCTGCCTTTTAAGACTCATATTTTTAAAAACAGAATGTGGACCACTGTCTGCTGGTGCTCCCTTTTTGTCCATGAGCAAAACAACCTGAAAGGTGCATTTTCCCTTGTACATTCCCACTGTCTTCAATACTCTTCGCAAGGTGCTCATGGGCTGGCCCAAGTGTTCTGAATTAAAGCACAAAGGTAATGTCAATATAAGCAACAGGAACTCTCCACTTGGATGTTTTTTGCAGTATGTGACTCTGGATTTTCCCAGTTCAGCTTTATTATTATTATTATTATTATTATTGCAGATCATGTAACTTTGTGAGGAGTCACAATGGAAGAATCATTAATAGTGTAAAAACATTTTAAAAGTGTGTAGTAAACTCACAGATGTCTAGATCATGTTTTAGATTATAGGTACTGCTGATTTCCCTGAAACCTTTGAGATAAAGTTCCCCAGCTCTTGATTAGTCCCTGTGGTTAATTATTTCATCCATGGGTCACAGGCTACTGGTTCAGCCACAATCCAGGAACGAGTTTACAAACAAACAAAATGCTTTTGTTGCCTTAAGCCTCTTAGAGGATGAGAGTAGATGTCACTGTTTGAGCTTGTAGTCCGGTATTTTTTGACACAAGTGGCTTGAAGTATCAGCAAATTATCTTCAGGACACCATTTCTTTGTTTCTGTAATTAACATCTACTGCAACTGCTGTGTTAATTATGTACTCACAGGGATTTAAAGCACTGCAAATGAGAGCTGGGCAGGGGAGTGTTTTAAAGCTTGTGTTTGGATTTAAGTAGGCAAGGGGGGGGGGGGGGCGAGAGTTTCCCTGAGGTGTGACACTGGATCCCACTCTTTGGAAACAGATGTAGAAATGCAGAAGTCTTCTGAGACTGAAAAGAGCACCTCAGAATTGAAAACTCTTTTAAAACGTCTCTAACTAAATGCAGCTGCTTTGCACACAGCGATTGTCTTGCAAGCCAGAAATATGTAGAAAGTTAACTCACACAAAAGAAAAAGTGTAAACCTTTTCTTCCCCAAGCCTTGTAAAAAACCCCCTCGGTCATCCTCAATTGCGAATTTGATGTTCACAGTTGTGCGTGTTTTGAAATGTTGTATCCTAAGGAACAATTTTTAGGACTCTGGCTGACTCTTGAGCTGGAGTTATTTTCTGCTACAAAGCCCTGAGGTTTATCTGCTGTGTCAGAGTGATGTTCTCACCTTGCTGTGGGTATCCAGGTAATCTGTGCCGGTGCTTCACAGGGGAAATTGCTCCCTGAACCAAAGGAATTTGGGCAGCCCTGGCACAGCTGGAGAGTCTCACACCCAGCCTTGTGGAGGTGGAGGTGTGACAGGGATAACCCAGCTTGAGTTTTGACAGTGACTCCTACGCCTTGGAACACTTAAATGAATATCAGATGAAGTTATTTTATTGTTAAGATGCTGGTTTTGATCCAAGTTTCTGCTCTTAAAAATCAGCAAAGTGGGGGCTGTGTCTTAAAACCAACTCGCTAAAGCTGAGCTTAAAGAAATTAATTTGGGGCAGGGACAGCTCCAAACAGTTGAATAGTTAAGTGACTTTGTAGGGCTTCTTCTATCCTGGTTTCTTTTTCATTCTAATTGTGGAGATATTGAAAGTCAAGGAATCTGCACATTTTTAAATGGAACAATAGTGAAATGAATGTGAGAGCAGTTGTCTGTGATTCTTTGGAAAGAATAACAAAATCCTGGTGTTAGCTGAAGGATACTTCTGTAGGTTTGGTGATTGCAATTTTACACACTTTGTGGTGAAAGAAATGGTGGAAAATACCTGAAATTTTACATTTGGTGTAAAATTTCATTTGGTCAGGTGCTGCAGGAGAAGTTACAAT